TCTTAAGTAAGTACCAATAAATACTTAACATAAAATAACCAATTCTTATTTGAAAGTTAATCAAAACATAAGGCCGTTTTCATGAGACTAAATAAGAATCAATAACTGTTCATTGACCTGGAAATATGAGGTGTTTCGGGAAGCTGTGTCTTAGTACAGAGAGGAGACATAAAATATGTATATATAAATATATAAATGGCTAATGATGTTATGATTATGATCATTTTGTTATCAAAACTTTTACTCGAACACTTTCGATGGTCGATTTTTTCATATCAATATAGAAGTGAGACTCCACCGAACAAAAAAATAAATAATCCGTAAAAAATATAACTCCCTTAAAGTAGGTACCTGTTTTTAGTTTGAGTTCATTATCACACGCTTTTTTATTATCCTGATGATAAAAATAATGATTTCCTTTGTGATATTAATATACATATAAGAAGAAAAAATTTAAAAATCGAGTCTTTAAATATTTTTACTGTACATTTTAACATTGTCACGGTTATTTGTAGTCTCTCAAATAGTTTTCTTCAAAGAGATGAATGTGAGTTGTCGAAAAAATCAATGTCAGTTTTTTTTTTTTGATAAACTGCATGCATGTACAAAATGAGTTGTACTGATATTATAATGACTGAATAAACTAAGATCAATATATAAAACTCCGGGTCCATAATACATCTCTGTTCCTTTCCACAGTCTCTCGTGCACTCCGGACTCCGGTCTCAGGCGAAGCGTCACAATGTACAATGTGTCACAAGTGTTCGTGCATGTAACCTTAAATAGTATATTGTGCAAATTTAAATATCTCCAACGAAACTTAACAGTGAAATTCACGAGGATAATATTATATTGTACAACTAGTGCGAGAAGTTGTCGATTGCCCACGACAGCGAAGTTAAGCGACTAATAAAGAAAAGAGTAATAAAAAAGCTTTGTCCGCGTGAATTTATGTGTTAAGCTCCAATGGAGATATTAACATTAGAACAATAGATATGGTAACAAATGAATAAGGTTGGTTGGGTGGTTAAATATTTAGCGACATATGTATGTAGACTTCATATGTTATAAAACTGTTCTACCTGACCCTGCGGGGGAATTGCATGGAATACTATAATAAGTATTATTTACATGTCTTAGTTACATTACTACAAAGATATATAAGAACTTGTTAAGTAGATTGTGTGTAACAAAAAACTAATCATAAGTAAGTGTAAAGTTATTAATAACGAATCTGGAAAGTTCATCCTGATACATCTTGAATGTAAAGTAATAATTATCTTAATATAACAAACATGTTCATCTCATCATTCCTCACTACTGACTGTTAGTTAATCATATACAGAACTCATACACGTATTTATTACAATGTATACATTTTGATAAAAATGTTTGTTGTTTAGAAGCACTGCTTATTTTCTTAGACAGCAAGCTTCTCCAGTAGAAGCACCAAATTCACTCAAGTTCCAAATCTTTAGCCTCTTAACTTAAGGATAATTTTTGATTCCATATTTGAGACTTAACAAAATCACTCAATAAATATAATAACTAAATAAATCAAACCACATTTCACTACACATATAACTGATATTCCATCAACGCGGTCCCCGGTTCGTTCCCGTGCACGCTACACTCACTGTATCCACAGTCACACTTCAAGTCCTAACTTGTTCCGTGTGTGTCTGAACACAGAGCCTGTCTGTTCACGTCTCTTCTCTCCACCGTCTGTATGTTAACTGCCGCCGGCCGCGTCCCTCGTGGCTCCTCTCACTGCTCCTCGCTGCGCACTCACGGACACAGACGGCGCAGATAACTTTACATTCTGTTAACAAACTGACTGAACTTTCAGACTATTTTATTATTATTTTCATGATGGTAATGATTGGAGCGTGCTTTTCTTTTTGCTTCTAATGATAAAGTTTATATGACGAATTTGATTTTAGAGTTTATATTAAAGTTAATAATTAGATAAAAATGTCATACACATTTCATTTAGGATAAATCACGATATTATTTTTCTTGTCCCTGAATGGGTATTGATAGCGCATTTGTTGCAACAAGTGGCTGTTAAATAAATTATCGAATACGGTCTCCAATCACATTTCTTACTATTTAAAAGTGTGACGAAATATTTCTGACTTAAATAATGATTTCATTTCTTATAGTTTAGTCAAAATAATATCCCTCAAATATTATACAGGGTGACTGGTGAATTACTATCAATATTTAAGGAGCATACTCGGTACATGATTCTCATTCGAATTATGTAAAAAAATAGGTACTTAATTTTTGACCAAATTTCCGTATAAATAAATAAAGTGTGTACACGTTCCAAGTTTTACAAGTGTGGACGCGTGCGGCGGCTTGCTGATACAACATTACGCCGCCGCCGCGTCTGTGTGAGTGTGTGTGTATACCTAATCTGTAGGGTGTTCATACGATGCGTAATTAATTACATAACTTTTGGTTAACTTTACTTAGAAGTTTATTAATATTTATGTTATATTAATTTTTATTTTGTCATATATGATCGTCAAATATCACGTCCTCAAATATCGATAGTAATTCACCAGTCACCCTGTATAATAACATAGTTATAGGAATTCTCGAATAATAACATAGTTATAAAAAGTCTCGTTGCCGAGGGCGCGGGTTCGATCCTGGCCCGGGCAAGTACCAATGTGATTTTTCCGAATCATATGTACTTTCTAAGAATATTTAGACATCACTGATTAATGTTGATTCCCAAAAGAGGGTTGATGTCAGGCAGGCGGCCGGTCGTAAAAACAAATAGCCAAAATCATTCACAACATGTAAGGCAGACCCTGGCTGTAGCTGGGAAAATTGCCAGGTAGAAGAAGATAGTTATAGGAATAGTTGGAAAGATAATTTTACACGAAATTAACTATTGTAATGTTGTTATTTGCAAGGCAAATATTTTATCATATGTTGATGTGAAAATGGCAGAATAACGAAGTTAAGAATTTAAAACAATGAACACTAAAAATTTATACTCGTTGCTTTACGGGTGCATCAGAAACAAGTTAAAAATCCAGCACAAAATTTATTTAAAGTCTGCCAGAATTTATGTAGCACTTTGTCCTTCGCTGCTCTGTAAAACGCCTTATTCATCAACCGTCTGCATCAATAAAAAAATTAAAGTAGAAATAATGAAAGTTTTTAATAAAATAATACATATATTTAATTTAAAAGCTGATGCAGAATTTAGGTATATTGGTATAATAACAATTATGTTGCTTAATGACATCTAAGACTTTCGCGAGTATTCATTTAAATGAAATTAATATTATTCGGATTACTTCTCGTTTTTTATTATTTTATATCTACACACTCCCGACGTTCCGGTTACTTTGCAGCAACCGTGATCAAGTGCAGATGAGATGTCAATGTGAATTATATTTAATCAACATAATTCTTAACTTAATAGGTTGGTGAATTCAAAAAGGTTTGTTATTTCCATATTAATTGATAATCTACTGTGCCCTTTATAGACAACTGATCAAGTGTTTATTTATTTTAGAGTAGCAGGTTTATCATGTCCATGGATATTCTACTATTATTAATAAATGTAAACAATGAAATTTTTGTCCATTTGAGGATTACTTTATGTAAAACGTTAAAGTAACTTGTTCGTTTAAGCAATAAGATACCAAATATGATTGAAATGGAAAAGGTAAAGTGAAAAATAATAAAAAAAAATGTACTTACATATTTAAAAAATACTTGACTTGAAATTACTAAAAGCAAAAAAAAAACTCTATGAGGATAAGAATGAAAAAGAAGTTGATTAGATATACAAGTTGAATAATGTTATAAAAATATCGGATTTATTACAAATTCGTTGTTTTTAAAGACAGCCTCGCTGACGTTACTAATGTTAGGTACTTCTTCTTGTACGTTCCATGATATTTTAAAATGAAACTTCAATTGTTCTTAATGTTCCTGTATTTCTCGAAGGTTCTTCATAATTACATACTTCAATGATACGCACTCACTGAACTCTTAATTCTGCCGTCGTGCGTCCAGACGTCATATTTATACCAATATTTAAACAGTATTTATTATATATTTTAACAGTACACGTTTTACTTTTAACAATAATCATAAATACTAATGAGTTTTAATAAGAATAGATGACAGCCTCAAATTTTTCTTCATTTCGCATCCGTTATTAAAGTTGATAGCGCCGATATATATAATGGTAGATTAATAGACTTGTTAGGTAATAGATTAATAGAAAGCTAGGTGTTTCGGTTTACATTAAATAGTATTCAAACAGCCTTTGTCTACTAATTAATATCAATAATTTTTAAATACTCTCTTTCTCAACATTTTACTGTTACAAATAAAGCTTGTTCATTTGCTCATTATTGAGATAATCCGAAAGTATGAAACTCGCATATTTTGTTAAAATCTTTTTGTGTTTTGTTTGCAGTCATTTAGAAAGTTTTGTTACATTATGTTCATACCTATTACATATTTTCAATACTATTTTATTGCAAATTTTCAAAAATTTAATTTTAAATATTTTGTTCCACCAAATAACAACTCAATTTCATTTTATAAATTATATACAGATCAAAGAAGACATACAACTTTTTAACTGGATCGTCAATTAACGGTATAAAATTATATGAAACAAAGGTTTTTAAACAACTCTATCTTAAGATAGGCGCAATAGTTTTGTAATAACTTTTCGATAAATATTTTTGATTATTCTGATTATTTTTAGAAGAAAATTAACCTTTTCAAATATTAAAATAAAATTACAAATATACAAATGTTAATTTCGATTAATTTTCTTTCATGTTTTAACCTTTTTATTTTATGTTTTCATTTTTACATTTCCTAGTGTATTTGGATATTTTTTTATCCTTGGTGAAATTGTACAAGTGGATTTAAATGAAGATCTACTCCATTACGTTTTTTTTTAATATTCTTTTCACTTTTATCGTCTCTCAGAAAGCAGCGCCAGTCGATCAGCTGCTCCAACGCCACCCGCCACCTGCCGCGCGGCAACGCTCCTCGATCTCCTGGAAATAATTAGTATTAAATAGTGAGATTAATGAACCAGAATTACCTGTGGTTATACATATCAGAACATATTTATCTCATGAGATATACTTTCGCGGGTAGTCAAATGTATGTAATGTAACTAGTATTTTTTGTTTTTACTATAATCTACTCGTGATGCACGTGCAATATCGATAGTACGTTATAAAAAAATAACTATAAACACTTATTGTTCCAGTGTGTACTAACCGCTGAGCTGGGACGTTCCTCATCCAGTAACCTCTGCCCCCTGGCCAGTACGTCCTTGAAACAGTCGTCGCGCGCCTCTTTCTCCGCCCTCAGCTGCTGCTGAGCCTGCGGCAGCTGGGGATGACATCTCGCTGCGGAGGGATGACGACCACGAGATGACGTCACGGAGCTGGGGAACGATATTCATGATATATATATAACTTATATATAAAATTCTCGTGTCACAATGTTCGTTTCCGTACTCCTCCGAAACGGCTTGACCGATTCTCATGAAATTTTGTAAGCATATTGAGTAGGTCTGAGGCTCTGAGAATCGGCCAATACCTATTTTTCATAATCTAAGTAATAGGGGCTGTTCACCCCTAAATTTTGTTTTGATTTGGACGAAAGGTTTTGTTTTTATTTTTTTATCAAGTGTCATAAGAAAATACATAAAATCCTAAATATTTTTTTTATCACCGACCCCTACTTTTGATATGACAAAACAACGTTTGCGGGGCAGATAGTATATATTAAATAATAAATAATCAAAACTAAGACAACCATTAAATTAGTGCTTAATATAGAAAAATATCTCTTAATTAAACGTTATTTCATTTAATATTTGTTACAAGTGCGATGTCGAACTGTATATTCATAAATGTTTTTGTTATAAGTGTAATTCTCATATAAGTGATAATAATGTCTTAATGGAAATAAAATATCATAAAGGACCCATTATTTATAGGCGTAAAATCGTTAATAATTAATTAGTATATAAAGAAAATATATATAAATTAGATAGATTAATCAAATGTAGCAATATATTAAAACACTATCAGATCATAAAGGTTTTGTATAATAGTGAAATCCCACAGTAATACCTCGGATAGGAAGGTCTGTAATTCCAGGTGTTGGTGCAACAGTTTCCTCCTAAGGTCTGCAGCACCTCGCAGTGACCGCCACGCCTCACTGAGCGCCTGCTGTCTCAGCGCTATCTGCTGGGAGTTACCGCCGGGGCGTAACCGCTGGAGGCGAGATCCTTCCTCCTGGAGCACCTGGAAATAGATTTAATATCACTACAACTATCTCTTCTACCTGGCAACTTCCCAGCTTTAGCCAGGGTCTACCTTACATGTTGTGAATAGTTTTGGCTAATTGTTTTTACGACCGACCGCCTGCCTGACATCAACCCTCATTGGGAATGCATTAATAAGTGATGTCTAAATATTCTTAGAAAGTACATATGACTCGGAAAAATCACATTGGTACTTGCCCGGGCTAGGAAGTATATTACTACAACTATAAAATACTGCAAAAATCAGTTAAAATCTTATTTAGGCAGAATTAGGCTATATTAAGTGAGGAGCTATGATATTATGAAATAGATTTTGACAAGTATTCATTTAAATGAAACTAATATTTATCATATCGTCTGCCCGTGATCATGATACTGTAAAGTAAACAAAACGTCGGAAATATGTCGTTTTTTATCAAAACGTTCATCCAAAAAATATTAGTTTCATTTAAATGGATACTCGCGAAAATCTTAGATTTCATTTTAAATCAATCTTAATAGTTACTCTGTGTCTATGAGTTTGCATTTCTTATCACTGTTTTGTACATAATTATTGTTGCTTTGAGGGTGTATATTTTAAATTTCATGTTTAAAGCAAAATTTATTGTAAGAATATGTTAAACTACCTAGTGATACATTTATTATGATTGTGAAGTTTTAATTTAAAATACATAATATGTTTATCGTCATAATTTTCTCAAGTAAGGGAAATGTAATTTCTTTTTGAGAAAAATAAAGTATCTTTAACCATAATAATTGTTTTGTAGTACCTGCATCTGCGCGTCTATAGCGACCATATCGTTCTCGGCTGCGTCGTGGTCCCTCCAGAGGGCAGTGGCGGCGCGCAGGTCGCGGGGCGTGGGGGGCGGGGCGAGGTGTGCCCGGCGCTCCCGGGCCCGCGCCAGCAGCTCCCCGGCGTCGCGGTGGAAGCGGTGGATCTCGCCAGCAGCAGCCAGGCGCTGGCTGCGGGACTGGATCTGTTCTACCAGACGCTGCCAGGACTCGCTGGAATGTATGAATTGTATGTATTTGAGTTGTGGATTATGTAAATTAGATCTTATATGTATGGAACTAAGTCTCACTCTGCCTTGTTTTAAATGACATGTGGATTTTTTGAATTAGTTTCTATGTTCTAAGTCTCATTTTTTTTATTCTAAATTAAATTCTATATCTAGTCATTAAGTCTCATTTTAACTTGTACAAATTTATTTGCATTTGTGGTATGTCCTATTTAGATTCTACATATATCTGTATGTATGGTTAAAACTAATTTTGTTTGGTATAAGTTTATGTGGACATATTGGATATCTGAATAAGATCCTATATGTTATGTAATTAAGGGTCATTTTCCAAGTTCCCCTCACCCGAGCACTTCCTGTCTCTTTTCAATGTCAGCGATGTAGGGGCTCTCTGAGGCGACCAGCTTCTTGGCCAGCTCCTCACACTGGTTGAACCTCTCCGCCCCACTCTCTACACGGTGACGGAGCTCTTCGAACTTGGACCTAAGGATCTGTGGTTGGGGAAATATGATGTCTTAGATTATAGATATAATTAAATGATTTTGGAGGATATTTTAATTAAGGTGTAAACATTTAGGTATATTTAATATTATGACATGCTAATCTTTGCACATCCTTCTGAGATACAAAAAATAAAAAAAACACTAAATTACGTATTAAATGCTCAAATTGACTTAAATTTCAACAAAATTTAGCATTCATTCGTTAGTTTCTAAAAATAGGATTGCTGAACGGATATCCGTGTAGTTTCAAAGCTTAGTATTTGAAGATATAACTGAATAATGTCTCCATCACCAAGTGTGATGGCTGGAGCACCCTCTCATCATCATCATCATCATCATCATCTACATATCGTTACTCACCAGTAAGTGTTTATAGTCCTGTCCGTAGTCTTCACTGGAGGCGGCTGCTTGCTGCTCCGCAACTCATTCCTCCAACTCAGCGCTCTCAGCCAGATATTCATGTCTAAGGATAGACACACATATTTTTAGAGGATATCCTATTTATATATTCCTATAACACACATATACTAGTCTTTGTCAGCAACTTCTTCATAATCAACTTCAGGAATAGAAAGGCGTTACTGTGTAACGCTTAAGAAGCAGTAAATAACAAGTCTTTGTTAAGTAGTTATTTATTTAAATTTCGACCTCGCTTAATGAAAAGTATGCTACGTCAGTCTCCTGTTTCGAAACTACCTCGAGACAAATTTACAAATTCTTATAGCCCTTCTTAGTAGTGCGACGAATATGATATGTATATATATATATATATATATATATATATATATATATATATAGTATCTCTCACCTGCACACATTCCCCACGAGCGCGGCCTACCTGCTCGCTGCCAGTCTCTGCAGCCTAGCCAGACTGCCAGCCAGCTGGTCATGTCAGGTGACCAGCGCGGCACCCTCAGGATGACCACCGGAAGCCATGGATTGCGCCACGTGACCCATTTCCGCTATGATCGCCGCGTATGTGTCCAGCTCGAGTTCTACGGCCTGTTGGTAGGTTAAAGAGGAATTGTAAGATAATGCTGAATATACTCTGTATTATTATATGTCTGTTAATTGAAAGTGTTAGAAATTTAAATAATGACAACTTCTGATTTAAGTCCATATATATATATATTAGATGTCATACTCCTGCCAAACGGCTTAACCGATTTTTATGAAAGTTTATATGCATATTCAATAATTTTAACAATTTGCTACTATCTATATTTCATACCCCTAACTATAAGGGCGGCCCACTTTTAACACCTTATTTAATTTTTTTTGGACAACCTTTCATAATGTGGCATTATAAAATACATACAACCCTTAATTATCACTCTTCTATCACCAACCCCTATTTTTAATATTTGTTTTATAAATATTTGATCCTACTCAATAACTGATAAATTTTCACTTCATAAGTCACTTGATGACTTACATATATGTATATAGTGATTTATCATACATTTCAAATAGCTCAAAAATTGTGTGATATGACGAAAATCTAATTCTTAGCTATGTATATATATATACAGGGTGACTGGTGAGTTACTATCAATATTTAAGGACGTGGTAGTTGACGATCATATATGACAAAATAAAAATTAATATAACATAAATATTAATAAACTTCTGAGTAAAGTGAACCTAAAGTTGTGTAATTAATTACGGATCGCGTGGATACCCTAGCTGCGTTATCGACACAAAACAGTTATGTACGTAGGTATATGTAGTTATCGCGCGGTAGTTTACCTACATCCAAACGCCGCGCGCCGCCGCGTGTTAGACCTTAGATAAACAAAAATGATCCATTTCCCTTCATACTTTAATCCTGGCTTAGGACAGGCAAAAATACCAAGATATTTCTTTCGTTTAAGCAACCAATTTATTGACTAGGTGTGACCTTGAAATGGTATTGAAATGGTGTGACCTTGACACAAAAAATAATATGAACTGTTTACCTATCTTGGTATTTCCGGCGTATTTAAAAATGGAATCATACTTATTTACAACAATTGTCAATCATTAAACTACCTATTTACCTACATAACTACACTAACCTTAACAAATGTTCAAAGGGAGCTCCTTCTCGTGTGATACACAGTTCGGCACGTTTACACATATTGTCTTTCACACGATTTAATACGAATGGGTCACTTTTAATAGTTTTGAAATCACTATTGATTTTTAATTTCAACTCCTCTCTGTTTACATACTCTGTAGCATACACAAGACGTTTCCTTGGGCATGTGTTAGAACACGGAACTGTCCGAAGTCTCGTAATCTTTGATTAGCGTTTAAGATGACGCTGGCCGTAGGTACTCGACGATTGGGGAACATCTCCCGGTACAAATTGATTGCGCCCGGCAAGCTTTCATTTGCACGCGCATACGCATGAACCATGTCCAAGTATTCTGCATTTGTGTATTGAAAAGCCATATTTAATTACTAATAAGTAATAACGGGTCACACGCACACACGACAGATTATTATTAGGTATACGCGTAAGATCGATCGCTAGGCGCGCGCGCGGGAAGACGAACGTACGGACCTTACGGCGGCCCTCGCGCGACTAATAGCCGACTAATGGCCCGCTAGCCACGGGGCGGGGGTTGGGGAGTAGCGACACACTGGCGCCGGCAAGGATGAGTACGTATCCAAACTTTATTTATTTATACGGAAATTTGGTCAAAAATTAAGTACCTATTTTTTTTACGTAATTCGAATGAGAATCATGTACCGAGTATTCTCCTTAAATATTGATAGTAATTCACCAGTCACCCTGTATACAATGTTATGACATTTAATAAAGAAAGTGCTGATATTGCTCAGCTTACAAATATAAAATAAATATAATATATGAAATCTTTATAAAATAATAAGATTTTGTTTTTTATTGAGTCAAATATGAATATATCATTTAATATTTAACAGTAAAGAAAAGTATTAAGAAAAATATTTTTAAAACGGACGTGGCAGTCAGATTCCAAGGCCATAAATTGAAACGGTTCAGTTAACGTGAACGTCAAGAAGTAGTAACCTTCTTTATAGAATTCAATATAGTGACTTTCGCGTAAATTGAGAAGCTTAGAAATGTCCCCTTAACGTCGACTAACTATTTATTAAACTTACTCACTTATTAAAAGATAAGATTAACAGTTTCTTTTCTCGTCCCAAACGTATTATTATGTAATGTAAATTGAAACTCAGATAATTTAGGTTCTATCACATATAACCATAAGTTTGAATTTCAAATGATGAATTAAAATATTATGAAAATAATCATGATTAATGTTAATGTTAGAAATAAAATACAATATTACATATGTTAAAGTGATAAAAATCTAAATAATATTCCGAAGAAATATATATTACTTGTTTACATTAAAAAAATGGTGGTTTCGAATATGGGTTTTTTAAAAAGTAGGTGTAATTAATTTTGACCTGTTTTTTTATTAACTAGGGTAAGATTTTTCATTTTTATACAATAATGTAATAATTAAAATAGAAATTTTAAATAATTCATGAAAAAATTATTCGCCAAAGTCACATGTATGTAACTACGTAATATAGCTTTGGAATGATATTCAAAAATTGGAAATGTCAGCGAACAATAGATTACAAACAAATGGAATTAAATGTAATGAAAAAGAAGAAATAAGCTTAATTGAATTAAAATCAAAAGTATGTTGTAGTTCTCCCTTCAAAAGTTAAACAACTTGGTTATTAAATTTCATAAAAAAAACAATTGGATGCAGAAATAAAAATTATGTATAATTTGTTTCAATACTATAACAAATATTTTAAAGGTTGACTTATTATTGAGAAAGTATTTTAAAAATGAATTTCATCTCATCTTCCCGCTAACGAGTTTAATAAAGTTATTTATTCTATAAAATCAGACTACATAAGAGAACGTGACTAAAGAGCATAAAACATAAAAGGTAATTCAGCGGATCCTTAAAAAACTATCTCATTAAAGTAGTATCTCAAACGTCATGGCATTTTTATTATAATAAATTTGTGATTCAGAACTCTATGTAATTTAACGATGAATATATTGAGAATTTTTGTTAAAAAAAATTATAAAAAGGATTTCTATGGCTTTTTGCCTATTTGTTTCTGTTTAAATTACAAAATATCAATTCAAATAAGTAAATAATAGATTTTATAATACAACTAGCTTTCCGCCCGCAGCTTCGCCCGCTTGGAGTTCCCTTATATCGTGTTTTCAAGAGAACCTTTCAAAAGTCTGGGATAAAAACTATACCATGTTCTTTCTCAAAGTCAACTCTATCTCTGTACCAAATTTCATGAAAATCAGTTCAGTGGTTTAGGCGTGAAAGCGTAACAGAGAGACAGACAGACAGAGCTACTTTAACATTT